GGGGCTTCCTGAGAGGAGCTGGGACCCAAGGCCTGGTTGTGGCTTTGGAGGCAGGAGTGCTGGGAAGCCTGAGAGAGTTGCCCTTTTGGTTGACAGTGACTTGCTGGGTCTCATGTCAGTCCCGGGGCTGAGGGGCTGGGACTGCTTCCCCCATATTGTGGTTCCACTCATTCCCTCGCGGACTGCTGGCTTCACATGTGTTCATTCGACACGGGTGTGTCAGCCTGGTGCTAGGCACCTAGAGCATAGAATGGATGTGCTCCAGAGGGCCACTGGGGGGGGGGGGGGGGCCTGGGTCATGGGCTTGGGCCAGCCCCAAGCCTCCCATCCCTTCGAGCCTATTCTTTCTGTCCACAGAGATGCCTCCCTGGTGGTGACCACATCAGGAGACCACAAAGCAAAAGTATTTTGTGTCCAGAGACCTGACCGCTAGTGGCTGCAGCCTCTGCTTTGGGTCTGGTGTTGAGGTGAAGGGAGACCCCTCACCAGCAGAGGCAGGAGGGTATGAAGGAAGAGGATGGGGGGGGCCTCGGACTACTTTCCAACCCCTTCACACTGACTTGCCCCTCTGTCCCTTTCTTCTCATAAGAGACCCACCCCTCACCCCTCAGGCCCCTCCTCCTCCCCCAGACCTGGGGGATCTCTCAGAGGGAGGTTCAGACCTCTTTCTCTTTCACTTTCATTTGTGGGTGTGAGTTATGGGGTGCCTATTTGTATGTGGGGAGTAGGTGTTTGAGATGCCTGTTCTTTCCCTTCCCAAGTCTCTGGGGGTGGAAAGGAGGAAGAGAGAGATTAGTTACAGATTTTAAAAATGTAAATAAAATATACTTCCCAGAGACTATGTCTGTGGATTTTGTGGTGGCTGGACCTGAGGAAGAACTGGTGAGGGGCATATCAGGGCGAGGCCCCCACATGTGCTGGACTTCCAGCACTCAGCCCGCCCTCCCTGCTGGTGGTGCAGCCTCACCTACAATTGCTGCTCTATCCAGAGTTGGAATCTCCCTTGATTCCCTTATTTTAGGTTCTTTCCACAACTGTTCTACCTGCCTCTCCCCTTTTGCGATATGGAATGAGATACCAATAAACTCGGCCAGAGGAGCTTTATTCCACCAATAAAAAAGGGCAGGGTCTCTGATCCAGGGGTGTGCGGACAAGTGGAGACAGGCGTGGCTGAGATGGATGGATGCTTCTAGTAGGAGTAAGCGGAGGCCCTTCCCCTAGTTCAAGTCCAGGTCCATGCTGCTTTGGCTGCTGGTGCGGTAGGCAGTGCCGGGGCCAGGACTGCTCCGGGAGGCTCTTCCCCGCAGCACCCGGCGCCATCTTCGGGCAGCTGCCCTCCAGGGAGCTGTGTAGCGCTGATCACTCAGCCCCATGGCCACAGGCACAGCCGCTGCACTGGCACTGCCCAGTGAAACAAGGGACAACAGAGTTCCAGGCCCCAGCGGTGGGCGCTGCTCATAGGCCAGCACTGAGAGGAGCAAGGTGGCCACGTAGGGTCCCCAGCACAGCCCAAAGAGCAGTGTGGCTCCAGCCTGTGCCCTTGCTTGCCTCCAGGTAAGGGCCCGGGCCAGGGCCGAGGGCACCCCGCGGCACACTGCCCGTTCCTGCCTGCGGATGTCCTGTAGCTGGCGATGGGCAGTGATCAACACACGGGCAGACAGAAGGGCCGCAGCACCCACGGCAGGCAGCAGCAGCCCATAGACTTCGAGGTAGAGGTAGGGGGCTGGGAAGACAGCCTGGGAGCTGCAGTTGGCACCAGGGGCCCAGTGGTTCCACCCCAGCACGGGCAGGCTGGTGAAGAGCAGGGGGCCAGCCCAGGTGAGGAGCAGGGCCAGGCGAGTGCTCCCAGGGGCCCGGAGAGGCCACAGCACTGCCATGTAGCGCTCCCCGTGCACCAGCAGCAGGTTGGCCAGCAGGGAGAGGAAGGAGAAGTTGGGAGCTAAGTAGAGGAAGAGACAGGACCAGTAGCCTCGGCGGCTCTGGCTCCACAGGCCTGGCAGTGTGGGCAGTGCCAGCCCCGTGAGCAGCCCAGCGAGCAGCAGGCTCAGGAAGAAGCAGCCAGCAGGGAGGCTACGCAGGCGGCGGTCCCCGGCAATGCCCACGGCCAGGAGCAGGTTGGCCACGACGATGAGGCTTGCCAGGACCAGGGAGAGCCCGAAGGCTCCCATGGGAACAGCACCGGGCACCTCCCTGGTGCTGTTGGGTGTCATCTTGGGTCTGGGGACAGAAAATCTGGAGCAATGGCCGACGTGCCTGGACAGGAGATGGGGTGGCCAGAGTTAGGGGGGGCTGCGGGTCACTGTCCTCTTGGGAGTACTTATAACCTAGAGGTTGCAGCCAAATGGGTTAAGCTGTATACACATTTTTTTCAATTAATGGCCAATTAAAATTTCTATTTCTGGCTTCTCTTAAGAAATCAGTTGTGGCAATACCTATGTCCTGTATGGTAGTGACCAGCTGGAGTGGGGACCTCCCCACAGGCCACTTCACCCATTTCTGTTATCTGCTTGGCCCCCTTGGGCAGCTGTGCTTATGCCTGTTTAAACTGAAAGAATGACCCATCCAGCCCCAAAGCATCTTGCCCACCCCTGCCTCTACTGGCAAGGCCTCTAAATTAGCCAAAAGGGAAGACGGGGTGTGGCTGGTGTGGTCAGCCAAAGCTGACAGCCTCCTCTGGGGTAGGGCCAGGTGCTAGAAGTGGGTGCTCAGGTGCTCGAAGCCCGGTGGGAAACCAGAGCATTAGGATTGGGCTGGGGGCAGGAGTGAGGCAGAGAGAGGGATCGCTAAGCATCAGAGTTAGTGGTGAGGTCAGGGCAATGGTGGCAGCAAGTGGGATGCCCTGTCCCTTGCACCACCATCCCCATCTGCCCTGTGGCCAGTTGGTTACAGATGAGTGAACAGCCTCTGGATAGGACTTCCAGCCCATAAACTTGACTCATCTGCACCACTAGCAACAGGTCCCTTCCAGGGAATTGGAGGAGAGAGAGGAGTTGCTGGGGGTAGAAGTGAGTGGGTGGTGGGGCAGGGGGTGGTGGTGGGGGGAGGTTGGAGGAGGATTGGCAGTGAATGTGGAGATGCCAACAGCAAGGAGGACACCTCCCACACCCTGAGGCTGAAGCTGACCCCCAGGAAAGGGGAGAGGAGCTGCTGGACAGGGCTGGCCTCTCTGCAGCTCTGCTCTGTCCCTTTCCTTTCCTTCACTTGGCTCCTTGTTTTCAGCCCGCCAGCACCCCGGCCCCACTGCTACATCGGGAAACAGGGAGGGGTCCTGGACCCTGTGGGAATGCCTGCTTCTGTCCGCGGGAGCAGCTGCTGTTGCTAGGATTAAAGTCAAGAAGGAAAGGATTCCTACTGCCCCCTCCCGACAGCCACCCTGACTCAGGAGAAGCTGAGGCCCCCACGCCGGGCCTCCAAGCTGCTGCCCCCCTCCCCTCCCCCTCCCCGGTTTTCTCTTCCTCAATCTTCCCTTTGACCCCAACTCAGGACATCTTTTCTTTTCAGCAGCCCTCCAGTTTCTGTTCCCCTTTGTTCCTGCATGTCAACTTGATTAAACCCCACAAGACCTCAGGCACCTTACTTCCAACCTAGTCTCTGGATCCTGGGCTGGAGCTCCAGCCCTCCTGAGTGAGTCCCCTACCCCACCAGAGCGGCAAGAAGGGAAGGGCCAGCCCCAGGAGCGACTTCCCAGTGGTGTGTGGGTAGTGTAACCCTGCTGGCTCTGGTGGCAATGGCTTCTTCAGGATTGGGGCTGAGGTCTGGGGTGGGGAGGGGCGTAGCGACTCACATGGCAGTTGGAGACAGGTGCTCCTCAGCCTGGCCTGTCCTGTGTCAGGGAACTGCTGCAGCCGACCTTGCAGGGCCTCTGGAGATGTCTGATGTCCGGGCGGCGGAGAGCATGGTGCCTCCACTCTGGAATAGCAGGGCCCCAGGCTTGTGGCTGCCCCGGCTCTGCTCCTGCCTGGGTTCTGGGAGGATGGAACTGTGGCCACGGGGCTTAGCCTGGCCCCGCCTCTGAGGGTGGGACCTGGCACACCCCGGCTTTAGCAAGTGGGAGGCCTTCCTCCTCTCCTGCTGGACCCGAGCTTCCCCTTTCCAGCTACCTGCCATATCTTCACTCAGGGGGCAGATCCTCTCTCAGGTCACTCGGTTTGGAGACCCCTCCCCTGATACTGCCTAGCTCAGCGGTTCTCAACCTGTGGGTCGCGACCCCTTTGGTGGTTGAACGACCCTTTCACAGGGGTCGCCTAAGACCATCCTGCATATCAGGTATTTACATTACGATTCCTAACAGTAGCAACATTACAGTTAGGAAGTAGCAACGAAAATAATTTTATGGTTGGGTCACAACATAAGGAAACAGTATTAAAGGGTCGTGGCAGAAGGTTGAGAACCACTGTTCTAGAGCACTGTTTTCC